CAGCAATATCTAATTTTATAGTTGGTCCTTACTGTTCTTCCTCTCTCCTAACATCTCCAGTATATTTTTCTTTGCTTCTTCTTAGTCCTTAATTACAGTATTTTTTTTTGAAAAGCGTTATTACACATTTGTAACAGGTGTTGATAATAAATTATAAAAAAAAAAAAATCCATGTACAGATCAGATGCATGTGGTGGGAGTCCATTAAAGCCTAAACAACCACATTTTTGATGTCTACCTGTGAGCTACGTATCTGAGTTGCCCCTGCATTCACTAGAAGTCTTGTGAAGACCATCAGTGGTGTGACTCAGTCACCCCCACACTAGGCAGTGACTCAGCTAACCAGCCAGCTAGCCAGTCAGTCTGCTTGAGGGTAGAGCTGAGTCCCCCTCATGGTAAATCCTACTCATCACACCCAAGAGGCAGCAGGCAATACCCTTCCCCAGCATATTTTGGGTTGGTGGGAGGCAGGCAGGAAAATGGAGCAAGGAGTTATGTGTGAGCAAGCATGTGAAATGAAGGTGACCTTGTCTGTTTTGTAAAAACTTGCTACCCTTCACAATGCTCTTTCTTCCACACTATGAGAATTGTTCTATTAAGCAAAATCCCAAGTGTAACTTGTTCCAGGGATAACCACTAAACTAAGTAAAAATAGAATTATAGTTTCTTTGCTSAGCCTAAATCATATTTAGAACCTGCCAGAGTCCTTATGTGGTACCTTGTATACACAAAATGACCCAGAAAGAGAAATGCATGTGAATTTTTCATGCAGCACATTGAAGAATCCTCCCTCCAACTCCTCTTGCTCTCACATAGAGAAGACAATGCTGCATCAAGACTGTAAACTGAGACCTGAYTTATGTTCCATATAATATGACTTTTTTTTCTTGTGACAAATTCMTCTTTTTTAGTTCCCCTAAATATCTTGCAGAGGCAACACTACTCACTAGCTAACAGGAATGGAGTGAGGTAACATACATAAAATATGATGAAAATAACATTCCTGATCAGGACAGCGATAAGGGTCAGAAAACAGCTTGTACTTAGATATCAGACTGTGAATAAACTGGACCATGGGGTTTATGCACAGAAAAAGGATTATTAATGAAAGTGTATTTATTCTAACAATAAACATTGTTTAACTTGGCCTGTGGATTTGCCCTGCAGTGACATATTAATACATGAATAATTGGGCAAGCAAAAGAATTGCTTCTTAAATTTCTGCAATATCCTTGCAAACATCTGTGCTGTTAAATTAAAAAATGAAGCCTTATTGCCATTGCTAAGCCATTCAGTATCATTAAGGGAAAAAAAAAAAAAAAAAAAAGCCTTATTTCAACACAGAGAAACAGAATATATGAGGGGGGAGGAAGGAGAAGGGGGAAAAAGAGGTCTCAAAACCTCACAGTTATTAGGGACTTTGGAATGGTTCAGGTGAGAGCATTGCCAGAAAGAAATGTTGAGCTGCTTCTGTCTCTATATGAAGCACTTCATCAAATTATACTGTTTGAACTGTTTGTCAGCTTCAATCTCTCCTCTTTCTTCTCTTATCAGGAGGCCAGGAAGACTGCATCCTTTCTTATGARCCTGTCACAAGGCAGGAAAGTAAGTCTCATCTGCTTTACTGCCACTAATGCTTAAATTTTTCATTTAAAATTTTGGGTCCAGAATAGACATAAGCATTGTTATAGTGTCCCCAGATTCTCTGTGGCTCCTTTTTTCCTGGCTGCTTTGCTCTTGYATACATGAGAAGCGTATGTGTCTCCCATGCTAGCTCTTAAATCCTAATGCTGCCAGGACTCTGCCCAACATGTTCTCATGACCTTTATTAATAAACATATTAGTCTACAAAATATTAGCACAGGATTTTTTTTTAGATTTACTGCATCATTGTTACTTGGGAGGCATTTTGTTATTTTCCTTTCCTTTAGATATGTGCCTCAGCCAGGGTAGATGAACCTACAGCAGTGCAAACTGAAAATATTCTCTGTTATGGTAATGCAGCCCCCCTAATTTAATGGCTGTCATATAACGGAGAAGAAAAAAAAAATGGATCCTGTCTCCTTTCCATGTCTCATAACAGAGTCCATCTGTGAGCAATTAGGGGCCACTTTTTTTGAACAATAATGAATATATATACTACCAAGTAATCCTTTGCCTACATATTCATAGATTAGCAGAGGGCTCTGAACTTTGTATAATAAGCAGTCTCAGTTCCAATTTCTGCATCCATGGCAATAAAAAAATTATTCCCCARTAAAAGCTATACATCTGAGATTTCCCTTCATGCGTATAGTGAACTCAGGTTAGTGTATCTTTGGGAACATTTATTGTTATTTCCAGTAACAGCATCAAATTATGCCCTTCTTTCTGTTGTTCAGTTAACTACACCAGGCCGGTTATCATTCTGGGTCCTATGAAAGATCGGATCAATGATGATTTGATATCTGAATTCCCTGATAAGTTTGGGTCATGTGTACCACGTAAGTACTATTTTATTCTTCATATTTCAGCCAAGTTAGATCCCTTGGTGAAACATTTAATGTGAATTGCTGTGAAAGCACTTTAGGTAACTGTGCCTTTAGGTAACTGTGCTTCTCAAAAGCCACTTTTAAAATTGGATAGAAAGAGAAACTCTGCAGAGGCTGCACCTTTGAGATGATGTTCTGCAGAGCTGTGTGAAAAGCTAGGATTTCAGTCCCCTTGGAATCACCATTCTTCTAAAACAAGGAGAGGATTCCAAATCAGGATACTGAGTCAGGAAAGCATTGGGCAGAAGTAGAGAAAAGAAAGAAAAAAAGAAAAGGAAAAGGAAAAAGAGAAAAAGAGAAAAAGAGAAAAAGAGAAAAAGAGAAAAAGAGAAAAAGAGAAAAAGAGAAAAAGAGTTGGTGAAGATCTAGAAAGAATTTTTGTGCATTTCAAACCTCCATCAGCTATCCAGGACCACAGTCCCTTTCCCTGCAGATGACTGTCTGAATGAGATGCCAGTTGAGCTGCTGCTCCAGGGTGTCCATGCTCACCTAGAATTCCTCTTTGCTGTCAAAAGCTCCAAGATTTCTCTTTCATGAAAGCTCCCTGGATGTGGGAATGATGGACATTTAGCACTGAGATGTCACAACTCATCAGCAATGCTCTGATATCAAACATAGTGTAGTGCTATCTTTCYTCCTATTGAAGTGTTGTAAAAGCTCCAGCATTTTGGTAAACCTTCTAATAACAAAGTCAATTCATAGATCCCTTTTTCTGTATCTTTTTAAATGAGATTAAGGTCTGAAAGACCAGTAAAATGTTTCATTATAGTAGCATAGTATCCACAGATAAAAATATGGAATAATTTGTGATTTGTGTAGAATTTAGACTATCTAATCTGACAGTGGTATTAGACCCAAGATTTATCTGATTATTTATTGTTTGAATCCTTAAAACTAGATTGCTGTTTATTTTGGCCTCTCATTGTAATCTTACTTTGTTTTAAACTGGTTGCTGTGCCATCAGCCTGTGCTAACTGCTAGAGACCAGAATCTTATAATAATCTTTTAGTCTTATAATTAAGGCTGAATTCAATGGACAAAATTGCCATTTATTTGCTTCACTGTAATGGAGAATAGGGTTAGAATCATTGTGTGGAAAGAGTTGGCATTTGTTATGTGTATTCCTCCTGGAAGTGCCCTTCTGCTCCCAGATGTGAAACACATTCATGGTCTGCCTGAAAAAAACATAATTGCAGCATTCTGTTGGAATGCTTTCATTTTTATGGATCTCTTGATTATCTGTCTTTTGTTTCGTGCAGATACCACACGGCCAAAGCGTGACTATGAAGTTGATGGGCGAGATTATCATTTTGTCATTTCAAGAGAGCAAATGGAGAAGGATATCCAAGAGCACAAATTTATAGAAGCCGGGCAGTACAATGATAATTTATATGGAACTAGTGTCCAGTCTGTGAGATTTGTGGCAGAAAGGGTAGGTTGACATGGCTTTTATTGTCCATTCAAACCAATCTGACATGATGCTTCTGCCAGCTTATATATAAAATACTCACAAAATGTTAACCTAGTATTTCTAGCCTTACAATGACTCTGGTTTTGAATGACAGCATTTTGGGCACTTTCTTCACCTGAATGTAGTACCATGTGTTCACGAATGTAGGCATAGTGCTTACAGTATGCCCCAAAACTGCCATCTCTCTTTGGGGTGAGTTCAACAGATTTCAGAGGCGCTCTGAGTGTTTGTTCTGGTGTGAGCATCCAACTCAGGGTTTTAGACTTGGCTCAAGTCCCAGCTCTGCTTGAAGTTTTCTTCTATGGCCTGGACCAAGATATTTAACCTCTGTATTTCTCAGCTTCTCTGCCTGTACAATGAAACTGGCAATAACAGACATAATATCCTTTTTTTTTTAGGTAGCTTTTGTAAAGCTTTCTCAGGACAGGGGTAGGAAGTGCTTTTTGAACACTAATAATTGCAAAATTGCAGACACCTCTATAAGACAGATAAGTAAACTTATCTCACTTTCACAGAGGCAGAAAATGAAGCAGAGAGATTAAATGACATGCCTCAGGTGACACAAGAAATCTTAGACATAAATATGAACTTATTTAACAAGTAACAATATAGAGAGCCTATTATTTTTGTGATTCAATTTTCCTTATTTCTGAACAACAGTGCCCTCTGAAAGTTCATCATAGTTAAACCTCTAGAATAAAAAAGAACCTATTCCCGTGTTTTCAGTATAGTCTTGAATATTAGCAGCAAGGCAAAACAAACACTGCAGAGAAGCAGGTTGGGTGCCTCCATGTCCYCTTCCCTGGTGTTGCCAGCAGGTCAAGGGAGGGGATCCTGCCCCTCTACTCAGCTCTGATGAGACCACACCTGGAGTACTGGGTGCAGTTCTGGGCTCCCCAGTATGAGAGGGATGTGGAGCTTCTAGAGAGGGTCCAACATAGAAAGACAGAGATGATTAAGGGACTGGAATATTTCTCGTGTGTGGAAAGGCTGAGTGAGTTGGGCCTTAAACGCCTAGAGAAGAGAAGGTTGAGAGGGGATCTGATCAATATGTATAAGGAAGGGAAGAGAAGTCTGAAGGGAGTTTGTAGGGAGGAGGGGGCCAAGCTCTTCTCAGTGGTGGCCAGTGATAGGACAGGGGGCAATGGGTACAAGYTGAGACACARGAAGTTCTATCTATATGTGAGGAAGAASTTCTTTGCTGTGAGGGTGMCAGAGCCCTGGAACAGGCTGCCCAGGGAGGTKGTGGAGTCTCCTTCTCTGCAGATCTTCCAAATCCGCCTGGCTGCCACCCTGTGCCCCGTGCTCTGGGTGTCCCTGCTGGAGCAGGGGGGTTGGACTAGATGATCTCTAGAGGTGCCTTCCAACCTCAACCATCCTGTTATTCTCTGTTTCTGTGTGTCAGTGATGGCTCTGCTCCAGGACCCTGCGTTGCAGAATTACCTCCCTTCTTTCAGCTGAACCTCAACCAATGCTGCAAAAATAAACACATCCTCATCTCTTTCCAACAGGGCAAGCACTGTATACTCGATGTGTCAGGAAATGCTATTAAACGATTGCAAGTTGCACAACTCTATCCCATCGCTATCTTCATTAAGCCTAAATCATGGGAGCCTCTGATGTGAGTATATAACCCTTCAAGCATTCTTTTTCCTTTGGTCTTAATTGCCACAATTAAGTTTTCCAGTTGGCAATTTGCCTGTTCTGTACTACCAATAGCAAGAGGAGGTAGGAAGAGTGAAGACTTGCTCTCCATGTATGCCCTGGCTGTGCACTGCATTATCAGATTGTCTCTGGAGCCCAGAGAGACCAGGAAAAGCTCCTTTCGAACCTTCCACATTTGGGACATGCAGCCCTACATGGTGCACCCCGAGAGGACAACCTGCCAATGCTCAGTGTGTTTTTTCCAAACACGTGCAGCGAGTTTAGCAGGGCCTCTGCAGCAACATGTGACYTGTTGTGGGGTAGCATCTGCTCACAGTGTGAGCATCTGCTCACACTTAAAGGAAGAAAGGGAAGGCACAAATTTCATGCTGTGACCAGGAACCTAACTGCAATACTGAGAATAATACTAGGAGCTCACAATCACTTAAGCAGTTAATGTGGCACCATTTGGCACTCCTTGCTATTTTCACAAACTATGTGAATATTGAATTGTATAGTACTTTTATAAGATTTGTGGTGAGCACAGGGTTGAGAGAGGTTGCAAGCACTTTGGAGGATAGGATTAAAATTCAAAGYAAAATCAGCAAGATGAAATTCAACGCAGACAAAATAAGAGAAAATTAAATGCACAACTACAAGCAAGGAATAATTAAGCTATAGCACTGCAGAAAGCATCTGGCACTTGCAGTGTGTCACACAGGACTGTGAATGGAATGATAATGCTATTGAAAAAAAAATACTCTCAGTGTGGATACTGTTAACATCAGTACTGAGAAGGGACACAAGACAATTATGTTGTTTTACTTGGTGTGGATGGGACCTCAGCTGCCACACTCTGCCGGTTCTGGATAGTATTTGGGAAATAGAAGAGGAATGAGGGTTGTCTGATCCAGAAGAGCGGAGGCTGAACAGGAAATATGATGATGATATCCATGATGGCTGAAGTTAATTTAAAATTTATTATGATCAATTGTTTCCCATGAAAAACTAGTGCAATGAATCAATGAAGTTATCAACGTCATTTTACTGTGATGGGGATGGAATTTGGTACTCTGTGCTTTCCTCTCCCCAAAGGCTCTGCAAACCCCAGGCAGATACATCTGCAAGAAAATTGCATGTAGGTCTCCCCCTCCTATGACAGATGTGTGTCTGGTTGTGTTGAAGTCATGTATTGGGTCACAGAGATGGAGACTGCTAACATAGCCCATCCCATGACCGAAAGGGATTTTTTATAGCCTTGACTTTTGGATATGAGATGTTATATGCACAGATACATTACAGAGAATCATACAGCATATAGTACTTAAACAGCCCCAGCCTATCCAAAGATGGGATATCCTGGGTTGGATATTTTGACATCACAGTCATTATATTCTAATGATTTGGCTGTTTAAAGTGAATAGGGGTTTCTAAAAGTCTACCTTCTGCATTGGTTCATCATTTAAGAGAAGTTTTAACCTGCAGTTTTTTCAGTAGCTAAGGTATGTCCATAACTGCCTCTAGCATGATAAGAAAGGAAGTACATAGATAAATAGGATCCTTATTCTGATAATGTATATGTATCAGATCCAACCGTAAAGGCAGGAATAAAGCAAAGTCTTGGTTGATTTGATGCAAAATTATCAAATCTTAGAGCAGACTGGATGAAAAGTGTTATGTAGATGCAAAACATCAGGATGTTCATCCTGCTATTAAAGCAAATCAATGCTAATATTATACTTAGGACTAAACAAATTATGCAGATAGTAGAATTTTTCTTAGTGGGATATATCAAAAATTACTAGGCTATTCCTCACTTTCTAGATGAAAATCTGCATAAATGTTGACAGTAGGAACATAGAAAGTGAAATTCATTATATGACTATTGAATTGCTTATTCTATGAATGTTCTGCTAGACATATTTCTAATTAGACTTAGTTAGATTTTTAAAAATTACACTCTTAATTTAACTCTAAATTTCTGTGGGACAGCAAGAGTCCTTGCAGATCAGCACTGGTTCTAGAATTTTTGTAGTAATATAGTTTACATAAACAAATTATGTAAAAACTATTCAGCTACTCCTGCAAAAAAATAGAAAAAGTAATGAATTCAGGCATCTTAAATTASTTTATGCCCCGCAGCTTGCTCTGCACAAGTAAGCTTTTTATCTACTTAATGCATCTAATGTGCATTTATCTTATCAAGAAGCATCTAAAATTAGTTTCTAACATAAATAAAAACCTCTTTTATTATAACTGGTATCATTCTCTTTTAAAAATTGCTTTGAGAACAGCAACATAATTCTGAGCTTCTTGCTCACCATTTATTTCATTTGCTAATGAAGTTATATTGACCAGGATATATAACAGGATGTATAACAGGTGGCTAAGCAAATGTGTGCGTTGATGCAAAGTGTGGAGTGGATTTGCAGCGTGAAGCTCCTTTGTGTTCCCTGGCTCTGTACGTGTTCCTGCCTCCTGGCAGATGCAGGACAGATTTCTACATTTCCATGGAGGGTCCAGCTGCCTGATTTTTATCATGGTCCGTTTCCACTGCTGAGCTGATGYGCTGTAAATCTGCACACTAGTTTTTCTCCTAGGAATTTGTTTATGCGGYGCTTTCTCCTTGTTAAGGGCTTTAACAGCATCATTTGCTGGTGTGCATGGGTGAATAGTCATAGTCCCTTCCCTATGGATAATATRGTTTTGCTACAAAGAGGATTCATGTGGTTTACCAATGCCCTGTGGGAAGAGAAGGACTTTTTAYATGACTTTTATATCAATAAAACCGTGTTCACGCAGTTTTGTTTCATGTGTGACTACCACAACAGAAAAATTCCAATTCCTAAGCAGAAAGGGGATGCAAAATCTGTTTGTAATGCTGGATTTATCTGTTGAAGCTATTTTTCCTCCACATATAAACAAGTTGAAAGTTAATGAAATAGCAAGGAGAAACTATGTCAAACAAACAAACAAAAAACAAAGTTGACTGGAAGAACCTATTCCATCATCCTGCCCTTCCTTCCCCACCTTTAAATGACTCCATCACCCAGGTTTAATCCCAGAAAGGTCCCTGCCAGCACCTCTTGGTCAGCTTATTATGAGAGGGGTGAGAATGGGGGGATCACAGCAATGAGAGCTGAAAGTAGCAAAGAGGCTGCCTGGATGAGCTCTTCACTGTGGGAGAAGAAAAGCCCTCAGAAAGGTGCCTGAAGGGACAGCTCTTTTCAAGCATTGCAAAGCAGCTGTGCAGGTTTCTGRCTGGAGGAGACAAGATTTAGAAGGGATCATCCTTTGACAGCACTTTTAATTCATCATGACAAATGGRCATCACTGTCCTCCCCCTCTCCATCCTCTTCCTTGAAGGTGTAGGACTGGCAGACATGAGTACATCTAGCATGGTTTTACACTGCAGGCAAGCCTATGTACCCCAGAACTAATGAAAAATTCTGCTTGTTTCAAATATTTGTTCTTTTAAAGGCTAATTTATATTTGTATAGATATTCTCTTCTTTGATTTTTCAAACATCTTGAGGAAGACTTCTCAGAGGTTTACTAGAAACAGATTGGGAAGGAGGAGGATGTTATTAGCACTAGAATATTGACTGAGTGTCCTTAATATGTGGTAATTTGTTAAGTTTGCATACAAATTTGCAGCACTTGGGTGCACTCCAAGACAGAGCTTGGGTTAAGTTCATTAAACATGTGGCCAAGTAGGCATAGCTGATGAGAAGCCTGCCTGAACTCAGTTCGATAACAATCCTTCCAATAAATGGAATTAGTAGTATTAGAAATCTATCAGCATGACACAGATTTGCATGCATTAATCCAAAACCTATGAGTATAAACCACAAATGATTGCCATAAGTTTTCAAATAAATCTTTCTTACTTTGTATTCTGTAAATCTGCTTTTTGGTTGTACTGGCAATACATTTAGCACTTCCAGAGAGACTTTTTAAGCAATGCTCCCAGTTATATGATTAATTATACAGACAGGCAGTTTTAGGGTCGGGTCAGCTCTATAAATACATTTTTGCATCTTTGGCTGCTTACATGCCATCTTTCAGGAACTAGGTAGGAGTTAGCTGTAGCAAGTTCATACTGCTGTGCATTTTAGAGATCATTTTTAATGCATCATCATGCACATAATTTCCTACATGCACCCAACATGTCATACTATATAAAGCCTGTTATTGCATAATCATATGATTTCATGCAAGACATTAAATCAGGTTTATGTAGACTACTGGATGGTCTCTGCTTTCCTAGCTGCCTCAGAAAATTTCTGTTATCTTTTAAGAAAAATGAATACATGCTATGAAAAAGATAGAGCAAGTGAAGTCTATTTGCTACYGATAATTTATTTGCATATCCTAAGGCATATATGTGAAAGGCATTGAATGAGTATGAGCTTGATTCTTTGTGATTTGCAGCGTACAGTGGAGTTAACAACGGAGTGTGTTTGGGCAAGACAGCTCCTTCCTTACAGTTATTAAATAATGCCTCTGTCGAAACAAAAATACTCCATCAAATAACAAAACACTCATAGTAATGCAGAGTTACTGGCACTGTTTACATTATAAGTTTATTGGTACTCTATGCAGTTTAGAGTTTACCCAACAGATTGGACTAGGAATGTATGTATATAATTGAAAAGGATGGAAAAAGAGAAGAACATRAGCAACTAACTTGTACCAACTCATCCTGTTGAAAAGACTCTGGTTGATTTTTCATGATTATGTGGAACTCCTATCTGTGTCTAAATCAAGTAATCTTTCTGAGGGACAATGCTTGGGTTCCTCTGGGGCTCCCTATGGGATTTACCATGACTGTAGGCTTCCTCCTACATAGCCAGGAATCTCAGGATGCTGAATCCTGCCTTTCATCAGTGGTTTCACTGCCATGACCCCAGCCTGAATAAAAACCTAGTTTCCATTTCAGCAGTCTGGAAGGTCTTCATCACTCAAGACAGACAGCCGCAGTCTCGGGAGATTCCTGCTCTAGCTTCTACTCATATGTCAGGAGCACCAKGAGGAGCATCCTGTGACTAAGATCTTGAAGGTCTATAGCAGCTTTACGATTTGAGCATCATTTTCTTTGGAAGAATAGAGTGGTGGCCCCAAAATACAAATTTAGGGGAGAAATGGAAAATGGACATAGGAAAGCTTGAAAATACAGATTTCTGTTATCTGACAATAAAACTGAATTTAAAGCACTGGAACTTCCCATGAACAGTCCAAATAATATCATCTCTTGATTCTTGTTCCAATCTTTGTTATTTGGTTGAATATATCTTTCAGAAAGCTATCTGAGTAGAATAGTTTATTCAAGTTCAGTCAAGAATCTAAACTTCTTGGTGACTTCTGTCTGTTTCTAGGGAAATGAATAAGCGTCTTACAGAGGAGCAAGCGAAGAAAACCTATGATCGAGCAATCAAATTAGAACAAGAATTTGGAGAATATTTTACAGGTATGTATTTATTCTAATCAATTGTTTCCCAAGATATAGTCTGTAATTTCACTCAAGAGGAGGAGTTCAATGTCTCAGATATTTGATTCCCTGAAAGACTAGGACTAGTGAGTATGACTTGAATTGCCTTCCTGATCCAAACCTGCTTTTTATAGACTCAGGAAAAAATCTTGCACCACCAGATTTATTGGTACCAAAGCAAAGTTCCTCAGTAGCTGAAGGCAAGAGCCCAAGCTATGGGTCATGGGAGGGAGAGAGAAAAGCATCTTCTTATAGACATGGCAGAGGGCAGGATTTAAGAGGGGCTCTGGTTCCCAGTATTTCCTTTGAGATGGTTTAGGAAGCTTTCTACTGAGGGATTGATATTTGGGGATCCCACTCAGAAGCTCTCATGTTGACCTTCCATATGCTGCCACTCCATGGATCTCTCACTGCAGTTTGAGATTTCTTCTGTGGAGAGAGAGAATTTCTGATTATAGGCATTGTGCTTTGTGTTGCATTTCTCACTTATTTGCACACGTAGGGCCTGATCTAGTTAACCTCCCCAGCCTAGAGTGAGCGTGGGATAACTAGGACAGGAAGTGAATATCCTTCTAGCCCTGAGAAGTAGCTTCAACATCAAATGAAATGTAAAGCTTGACTTCCTAAAGTGGAACCAGTGACACTGCCCTCTCAGAGTACAGAACTGCTAGTTAAATCAGCCAACCTAGCTCATAGAATGGTCTTCATACAAGCAGTTTGGGTTGGGCCTCTGTAATGGGAAGTTGTGCTCAGTTGCCATCTGCAGGTTGCATGACTTCTCCATGATCAACAACAGTGTACTACTATTTCTACTTATTTCTACAATATCTATGATTATACTGTCAGTTATATGTTATAGAATGTAACAATTTAAAAAATATTGATATGTTTCCTTACTGCAGCTATTGTCCAAGGAGATAGCTTAGAAGATATATATAATCAATGCAAACTTGTAATTGAAGAACAATCTGGGCCTTTCATCTGGATTCCTTCAAAGGAAAAATTATAAATTAGCCACTGCACCTCTGATTACAACGGGAGAATATTTAGAAGAAAACTATAATATACTATTTGGAGGCTTTCCTGTTTTTGTTGCATTTATGTTCTTTGCAGTCAATGTGAATTTTGATGAATGTACAACACAAAGTGTTTGAAGCCATGAAGGACACTGATGGGTCAAAAAGGGTAGGAACAAAAAGACTTCTACCGCATAAAGCAAATCTGTTGTGTGCTCAAAGCACCAGTTGTAGGTACAAACTTTTGATGTGGAGACCCTCTGTCAAGGGGAGCTAGCCACCTACTGTGCCCATGTGGACATTTTGATCGATCTCAATGGCTGAGCTCAGTGTGTTGATCGCTTTAAAGAGAAGTTCCCAGCTCTTGAACCTCATATAGGGCTTGATCCTGCAAGGCGCTGAACACTTGGTCCCAGTTCCTACACATGTGAGTAGCCCGTTGACTCGGAGTCCCTACACCGTTCAGTCACATCCATTCTTGTAGGACTATTCATGTGCTCAAAGCTAAGCACAGGCTAAAGYGTTTTGCTAGATCAGGGCCACATGCACCTTGCAAAATCAAACTCAGAGAACCAGGTCCACTTCCTACTGAAGTCATTGGCAGGACTGTCTTTGACTTTACTGGGAGGTGGATCCTATTCTTAGCTTGTCGTTGCACATTTGTAGTTGGTACACCTCGACTTTGGTCAAACTATGCACATCTTTTGATTTCTGATACCAAGTCATTTCTTTTTATTTCCCCCTGTTTGGAAACACTATTGTATCAGGAACTAATAACAATGTAGTTTATTTTAATGGCGTTTGGGAGTGGGAGACGATGGAAGCGTTTCACATCATACGTGCACGCAAACACATTCCCATGCAAACACACACATGAGGATTCACAGCACCTACATTGACGAGGAGGGATACAACTGGGAAAAGCTTTAAAAATTTTTGATTGTCTATTTTATCATTTATATTGATAGAAGGCACTTAAAGATGGAATAATTTATAAAAATAAAAAATATATTGATGTATAGAAACTAATTTCTATAGGTAAAAATGTTTTTGTGAGATATTTTGTAAAGATTAATTAATTGAAAGATTAAATATTTACACCCTTGTGTGACTGTAAAATGTAAAGAAGACCATCAAGTTGCATTATCCCTTTTATCTAACAGATTCTCTATTATTAATGACAAGCAAGATAATTCCTTAAATTGTAGTTGTCAGGTTGGTTTTCTCTCAATTTAATCCTCTCCCTTGCCTCTATTTAATCATGATGAACTCCTGTGGAAAGGTCTCTTGAACTGACTGCCCTGTAGGACCTTTTTTGAGCACAGAAGGGTAATGCATCTTTAAACTGAAATAGATGATTTTCCAGAAGCGAAATGTCAGTGCTTGAATAATTTCCCTCTTGGAGGGAGTCACACCACCTAAAATGTTTTACAGTGTTCCTCCTCGTTCCTTTAAGGGAATTACCAAGAGCATTTGATCTTTTCTGTCTTCATAGGCAGGCAGATCAGCAACTAACTTGTATCTTCATTCATTTCACAGTCAACAAGGGTCTTAAAAGTGAAAACTGAGGCAATGGATATTTGCGAGGGATTTGGGGCAAGTCTGTGGAATTTCATCTTGGAGCTACAAGGAAGCAGGGAGGGAGGTTTATTTCTTGTTTCTTGTTGCCCTTCCTTTGCATGCTGAGGCCATGCTTCACTCCTGACACACAAGGGGACAACTGCAAAAGATACTGTAATTGTAAGCTGAACTGCCTTTGCATCTGCTGCTGGACCAAGTTTTACATAAAAACCGGAGTCTCCTGCCTACTGGGCTGCAGGAGTCCAATAGTTGTTACCTGGTGGCTACAGTAACCCTAAACTTTAAGGACCTTTTAAGGGCAAATGCTAAATAAGCTCCTCGGTTACTTGTCTCTTAGAAGCTTATGTTTCTGCACCCTGTCGAGCAGACAGGTCTATTCAGCCAGCTCCCCAGAGAGCACGACATGCTGGATGGTTGTAGAATTGCCACCAGTGCTGACCGGGTAATGACACGGGCATTTCAGTGGCCCTGAGGAGGCCACTCACTTACTGCCCTACTATGATAACTTTGAGAAGTTCATGCATCTTTTATTACGATTTTTTTGCCTGGCCAGCGCAGATTTATAAGCAGGGGTTTCAGCTGACTCTTAAGAAAAAGCTTTGCAACCAGAAGGGCTAGAAACTTTTTATTTTTGGCAAAATACAAGTGAATGAAAGCTTAGATTTTGGATTATTCTGCAGAAATCCACAGAGTGACCCCAGATCTTTGGAGGCCATGGTTTTTTTCCATGCTAGCAAAGCACTATTGCCCCAGGTTGGGAAATAGCCCACTTGACCTGAAAAAATAAGACAAGCATCCTAAAGCAGGAACTTCATTCTAATTTTCAGCTCTGTTTTTAAGCAATCAGTTACATCTGCTTCTTTGTTTCTTAGTTCAGCATGCAGCCTTTTCTGGTACTATCCTACTAGTAACTGTTTTGCTTTGTCATGTGCTGTGCTTTACAGTGAACAGTAACACTATGGCTGAGTACAATCAATTTTTCCATCAGTCCTCAGTTACTGTAGTAACATTATTTATTTTTCCCTGTCTGTTGTTTGTGCTTCCAGTTTAGAGTTGCCATTGCACTTTTTTTTTTTAATAAAACATATATTTAAAACTAATTCACCAAGAGRAGCAGTGAGAGGTCTTCTTTCCCTTAGAACTTGCACTCCCACTTGTTTTGTGTTTTGGCATTTTGTGTTCCATGTTGCAGCTTTCTCAGGGCTGCAGATCATTTTTGCATCACAACTGTTCAGATCATACTGGGTGGTAGTGGCAGGAGGAAGAGAAACATAAGATTCATGAAAAATTACATCTGGTGCACACAAAAAAATCCCAAATACAGCCCACAGCGTTTGGCACCTCAGACCGTATTGGTGCTAACATGGCTTAGTGTAATCAGATTTCTTTTCTGTCCATGCAATGGACTTGCAAGTGTCTAAACATGAGACAAATGCAAATGCTGGACCCTTTAGGAAAAGTGCCAGATCACACCCCTGGTGCTATTTCTCATGTTCTGGCACAGTGTGTAGCACTGTAGGGTCTAAGCAGAACCAAAATCACAGGGCTTTTTTGTCCACCCATGGATGATCACAATGACATCTCGCTGGCTTTGTGCAGATGTGCAATATTACAACCTATTTATTTCTCCTTTCCACAAAGTATCTTCCATGCACTGACTCATTTAGAGCTTGCTAACAGGGCTCAGTGAAACTACACTCCTTACTGGTCCTACTGGCTGACCACAAACCAGTAAAAGAGCCTTTCCTGCTCAATTCCCCCATCCTACAGAGGTACCCTGTCCATGCTAGCGCTTTGTAATTTTTTTCGTAGTAAAGGCTGTTTCTAGATAAATATTCTGTGTTGTAATTGTGTTTGTAGCTAGCATGGGTCGATGCTCCAGTGTGGATAGGGTCCTCAAAACCACCCTGTGGAAGTCTAGGATAAGAAATCTCTCCATTGCACTGAAATTTGAAATCCTGATCCTGGAGTGCTGAACCTGAGCTAATAACCAYGATGAGCCAGCAACAGTGTCCTCATTATACAACATCCATCTACCTATTTACAATAGTTTTCCATGGAGAAATTGTTGGTATTTAACTGTTACTTACTCATTAGCATTCAGACAAACTGTATTTTTGCTTTAGTTTTCTTTTTTTGCTGTTATTTTTTTTTTCAAATCCTGAAAAGAGAATTCAGTGACAGACAACACGTGAATATTTGTATGGAAAAAAAAGCATTAAAGAACAAAAGTTTCCACCTTCTTTTTAAGCTGCAGATTTAAAGACATGATATCTGCAGTGTACAGAGAAAATGGTCTGTCAGTGTTCATAGCTTTGAACCTCAGCATTTTTTTCTCTAGAACATTTTGTCTGCCACGTTATGCATGTGGTTCACTGTGCAACTGCATTCATGTGCTCAAGACCATGCTTTGATAAAATAAATATACCTTACTGTTACATTAAAAAGAAGACATCTTGTCAATTAGCTCAGAAGCAAGAATGAGGTCATCATTACGTGAAAAAAAAAGACTCTTTTAGAGCACAACCCAGCATTAAAGCTAAGAGCAAATAACACCTTCAACATATAGCTAGTGTGGATCCTCAGCTGGTATAAACCATGGTTGCTCCACTGATTTCCATGGAATACCTCCTGTTTACACCACCTGACTTTATATATATCCTCTCCATTTTGCCTACTTTATAGCATTACTGTAAAATATCAAGGCYGTGTAATTAAACAAGAGCTCAGCACTTTTTTTTCATTAGTTCCTGTTCCTATCACTGTAGCACCCAGAGGGCTTAGTCAAGAACCAAGACCCTTTTTGACGTAGGTGCTGTGAAAGTGTTGAACAAAAAGACACTCCCATGGGCCAGATGCTGTGGCCAGGTTTTCAGAAGGCTTCAGCCCCACCATCATCTCACCAAGAGCAATAGGAACCACCGCCTGGTCGGCCCTTTGGAGAATCAGTCTTTAAGATGACAGGAGCAAGACATGAGATATCATCCCTCATGCAGAGCTAGCAGCTTGCACCCTCTGGCCCTGACCTACAGCCCAGGCAACTTCCAGTGATGCCCTAGGTAAAACAGCATTTTGGAGAATGGGTGGTAGCCAGAAATCTAGGTTTTAAAGGAAAAAAATCTTAAATAAATGAAAAAATAAATGAGTTGGCTCTTAGTGAGATAGCAACCTTTTAATTTCTGGATTTGTGTGCCTAAATTTGAGTCTGACCTTCCGAGTGCAACAGCCTGTCTTCAGGAGGCCGCTTCTGTCTGACCACGCTGACCAACTTGCATCTCTTTAGCAGGATGTTTCTCAACCCGGCTGTAGTTTGGGGTACTCAGAATCTGAACTGGAGTTTACAAAATACACTATCCAGCTTACACTCCTGTTATGTGTAAATACTCTGTGCATCCATTCCATTTGTGTAAAGAATAAAGCACACACAACTATAAAAATTAAGATGTATATTTCATACCAGCCGTGTCCTTGCTTATTTATTCCGTTCCAAGCCCTCAGCTGTGGTTCAGTTGTAAATGCTTGATAGAGTGTTTATAAATATGTCATGAATTTTATTATAAAATATTAATATTAAAGCATTTTTACACTTTATAGCAAATGGCTTCTTCACAAGGCATAATTTGTCTTTTTTCCTTAAAGCAAATTAGTGAAAGAGAATGAAYATGCTCTTAATATGTCTAGAGAGAGAATTGCATCTATCACATAAGATAAATAGAAATCTGGAAATGGAAAGGAATGAGAATACAGAAACTTTCTTGTTTTTTTATATATTTTATTATTTTTGAATTCACTCAAAAGTAACTGAGAAGATCCTGTTTACTGAAGAACCACCACTTTTTCTCCTGTGTTTTGGATATCCTCAACATCTTGGTCAATAATCTGGAGCGGATTTCTTTTTTTTAATTAAAGGATTTCTCCAGATTTCTGGCATCACAGTGCCGTCAGTGGGCTGTGTTTTGTAATAGTTAAGACACTTATAAGCAGATTAGTGGAGCAGAAACTTCAGCTGTGCCACGGGGCCCTACCAGTCCAATAACCTTGGCTTCTGTCCACCCCAGGAAAGTCTTTGCAGATGGCATGCCAGGCTCCAGGGAGGCCATGTGAACATTTCCAATTTTCTGCAGAGGCAGAAACACGACAGGGACACTGCTTTTGATAGACAGACTGCGCTAAAATAGTTCAAACTGCAGAGGACCACAGAGCTTCCATATGGTTCTGGGAGCCATAACTGACACTGTAGGGAGACAAAATCTGTCTGTGGAGTTTTGCATGCATAATCACAAGGATGGTTAATCATCTAAACATTCGTTTTGATGCTTTCTATTTCCTGACTAGATTCTGAAGAGGGAGATCATCCAAACAACAGCTCACATTGACATGCAGATGAGCACTTAGCAAGTCATTTCTGAGATATGAACGTATTTACTGAGAGATTTTTCACAGCAGTGAGTTACAGTCTTAGCAACAAACTGAAGTTGCTTTCCAGAGCAGCACTGCAGGATGTAGGCAATAGATGGGTGGTTCATTACAGCCCCAGCACCTCTTGAATTAGTCTCCTCCTATTTCTCTGGCCAAACCTGAACTAACTCCCTGCAGTACATTCTGCAAAGACAAGAGAAACTTAGAAAATAGACTTTGCAAGATGCCTGGGAAACAGGAGTTATTTAAATTTTCAGGAACCGAGGCATGTGGTGACTATCAGCTCAGGCATGGGCACACCTTGCCAGCTTAGGCATTATGTATGTAAAGAATGGGTACCAACCCTCACTTCTCCCAGTGCATCTACAGTCCATGGTTGGTGAGTTATAGTGATAACAGAGTATGAAGGTTGCCCCAGTAGAAGTAARAGCACAGTCTCGTCCATGGCAGCTGATGGTTCATGTTCAAAAGTAAATCTAAATGAATGGAGGAGCCACAGATAGCCATCCCAGCAGATGTATACATGTGCGTGTGTGTGCATGTGTAAAAAAATTCTGYAAGAACAGTCACTTCATGCAGCCAACCACATACCTCAATTTGGTTGTCTAGTCACACTCCTGTGTCATGAAGGATGTGTCTCAACCTGAAGAATTACCACAGTGAAAAAAATGTGGCCACTACAGTGTTCCCACTTGGAAAAGCCACTTCAAATTGATATTCAAAGGCATTTAGGTGCCTGCTTGGGATCAGCAAGTTACTCATTTCGTTATAATCATAGCGTTCAGAAGCTAGAACATAGCAATGACACCCAGATCCCCATGTCACCTGCAGGAGGGCAGCAAAATTGAGCCGTGCTTCTTAGATCTCTAGGGCATGTTTCAAGTCTTCTTCCCTGCCACCAATCTGCACAGAAGGCTCTTTCCTATCAAAAATCTCAGACAATGCAAGAACAGCTACTGTGAAGCTCCACTGAGCAGGACTTGCCTACCATCACATTGAGAAGCCCTTATCTGCAAAAAAGGTATCAACTGCTGTGGCGTGGGAGAGTTTGGGTGGATTGGCAGGGTATGGCACCAGTAGAGCAACTGTACCTGAACTGGTCTACAGACCAATTTGGAAAGCTGTGGACCAGGGCAGGGTTTCCCTGCTAGACAGAGGAGGAAAGGCTGTTCCAGACAGCACTCCCACTGCTGTCTTGTCTCTTGCTGATGGAGATGTTTCCTTCTCGACACCCTGGGAAACTAACGGTGCAGAGTACACCAAGGAGGTAACGAATGGTGCCCAGAAGAGATATCTAATTTTATTCAGCAAAGAAAATGAAATATTTGCTGCAGAAGCTCATTAATTACTGTCAACTACTCATTAGCCCTTAGTCTAAGCAGAAGCAGGTGGTAGCAACCAGAGAAAATGAATTAAGTCATATGCACATTGTTAGCATCATGGCAATAGGGCTGTTACAATGCTAGCAGAAAAGCAGTGCACAGCTGGCCTCAACACTGTATCCGCTGATTAACTGAAGTCCCAAACTGAACAACTGTAGGGGTTGCTCTGCTATGTGAAAATAATTAACCTAAGCCTTCTTAGGTTAATTAGACTTAGGTTAAAAACCTAAGCCTTTCCACACTCACCAATTCCCTGGTGCTAGCAAAGAACTCTCCCTKCCATAAAGTCTAGAAATGCAATAGGGGATCAGTTGTAAATTGAAATGCCTTCAAGCTGCAAAACACTGGGACGGGCTTTAGTCATTTAAGAGAAGTACAAAGGTGCTTGTAGCCTGGAGCACCTCCAACAACTGCTCTCAAGAAGTCCCTGTTGGCAGCAGAACCTCCTTCAGGGGCACCTCCATGAGCACTGCTGAAATCCTGTCCAAACTCTGCATGGCAGGAGTAGTAACCTGGCAGGCAGATCTGAAAATAAATCATACTGGGCTTCAAGAATGTCTTTTTTAAGACCACCCCCCGCCATGCCTTCTTCTCCTTTTTCCCAAGAAAAGGCATCGTCACTGTGCCGTCTGCAGTAASAGTTGGTCCAATATCTGTCCAATATCCTCAAAGTCAAAGCACAGGCCTAAAATGTCACATTTATCACTGTATTTAAGCCCTGAGAATATCAAAACTATGAAAAAAAACCCTTTTCTTTCTGTTTCTCTAAAAGAAATATTTTTAACAGAAAATATTTTGAATGCTGTCATACCAAAAACTCATTGAATTAATCTAAAGGGCCTGAAAACCCTTGCTTATCTGCACGGGGCTTTTGCATAGGCTTTGCTGGATGCAGGAATCACCAGAGCACACCGTTTTCCCCAGGGCTGGTAAAGTCATTGGCTGTATTCTGCCTGCCTGGATATAGTTTGTTGACATTCATGTGCTGAGTAATAGCAATACGTCTTCAGTAAAACACTAGACAAACATTTTCTAAGCTTTAAACTTGCTCTTATCTCTACATAATCCTTCTTTAATAGAGCTGGGATTTGCGGTAAGTAAATACGTTTATTAGCTTGCAGTATAATCTCCCAGGTACTGTTTCCAGAGCCTCTTTTTTATCAATGGCAACTGCATCATCACRTTTTAGAGCTACTAGAGGAGCAGAACCACAGTACAATATTGTGAGGCAGAGAGTGTGATGTAGGGAAAAGCCCCGCAGATCCCTAACTCTGAGACAACCAGTAGAAGGGGCATTTCTAATTAAATGAGGTTAGGTGATAGTCTGAACTTAATGGGCCAGATTTGGGGAATGGGAGTAGCTGCAGAGTCCAAGACATCAGGAAAGTAAATATTGCCTGATTTATCTAGATTAATCTGGGGCCAGGGCAGTGGTAGTAATCTCATCAAGTAGCAGGTACGTGAATGAGTCCTTAGGCCTCACATGTAGTTGAAGGAGATGTATGGTGAGAGGTCTCATCTTATTCAGCTCCACTCCATTAACCAGCAGATATAGATGGACACTAAGGGCCATCTGGGCATCCTTGGTGAACTGGTGACTAACAATCCTGAGGCATTAAAGGATCTGAAGTAAAAAAACAGGGGCAAAACAAGTGATAATTCATACGGCTATAGGSAGAAACCCATCCTTAAAGAAGCCTTTCCAACTGGAAATAAATCACAAATCTCTGCCCTAAATAGAGCAGCTTCCCAACCCAGCTGCATGCAGAAACYGAGGCCTGTGTGCAAYACTGAGTGTGCCTCATASGGACTGGTACCACGAAGGCCCAACTCGGCTGCTCACAAACACTTTCTAAAACCCCACAAGAGCATGAAGGGCCCAGAGAGACCATGGATATGAGGCCTGGACGGGAGCAGCAGGGTGCATTTGGAGATGGGTTCTGGGTGGCGGTGTCACCTAAGCTACTTCCTGACAGACACCACGAGAGTTTTGCATTAACCACCAGAGATGTTCACCTATAATGCACATGGCAAAAATCTCCCCATCAGCAGCCTTTGGTTAGCAGTGTGTAGCATTTAGTGTGAATCCTTAGTGTGAATCCTTCAGTGCACAGAGCTTATACACAGTTGTAAGGGGTCCCTTTCTTTGTATTTGTCCTGGTTTGTGCCTGTGTGGCAGTGTGACTGGCAAATGCATCTCCATATGATGCTTGTTCATGGCTCTAGGAAGCAGTCAAGCTACCTCACTCTGTCCTACTAGTCTTCACCGCTGATGCGCTAGGACAGTGTAGTAAGTGAGAATTAACTTGCACGATAGACTTTCATTGAGATCTTTCTTTAGCTGGAGATAAAAAAGTGGAGTAAAGCAACAAACAAACAAAAACATCAGCATAGTGAACTTTCCATTGAAAGAAAAAGCATGAAGAAATAATCTGGAGCTGAGGAAAATATGAGAACCTAGCAGCAGGGTATAGCTATGTGGAAATCAAGGAGTAAGGAGGCTGTGAAGCTGACAAAATCACAG